CCGACGCAACGCGCGTAAACGGTCCTGCGGCATCGTGTCTCGTCGCGACGGCGAGCGGTCGTGACGCGCGCGAAAAACCATCGAAAAAACACCGTATCGCTTCGGAAACATGACCGCGCGGTCAAATCCGATACGTTGCGTGGGCTGTCCGCGAAACTGTTCGGTACGCGTGGACTCGTCGACGCGCGTCGGCCAACTCCGATCGAACCTTGACAGGTTAACCGATTCCAGTCCGCGAACGAACGCTTTTAGCCGACGAACGTCGTCCGTCAATCCGCTTGTTCGGAGCGAAAGTTATTTTTCGGAGGTTCGAGAATCGCCGAAACGATCGGTGGTCACGAACAAGTGGCCGACTCGAAAATAACGAGAGAGAGAGAGAGAGAGAGAGAGAAGCGATGCGACCAGTCCAGACGCGGCGCGTTAACCCGGTAAACACGGTTCCAGCTACGTAATAGCTTATAACGGTGATATCGCGAAAGGTTGCGGTTTTTTCGCCTACCAAATTTTTCTCCGATAAAGTTTCGGCAAAGGAAAAATAACGAAGAGGAGCAACGAGAAACCGATTAAATCGAATAGAGTAGAAACGTTTGGCGAACGAACGAGGAAAATGCGAAGGAAGGGCGAGGAGAATGAGAGAAAAACAGAACGCAGCAGAAAGCGGAGACGAGCGACAGCCAGAGCAACGGGACAGTCGGAGAAATCGGAGAACGGAAGGTCGGATCAGAGGTTAACCTGTCGTTTGACGGAACGACGCGACGATTCGACCGTGAATTCTCGCGGACACGATGTTTCGGACGGACATTATATAAGTAAATCGGAGTAACTCACCTCGAGTGGCGAATGCGTGATACTCGAACGCGATGGCGGTGAGCGGCGAGCAGAATTCGCCGCGAGTTCAACCGATTCACCGTCTTCCGCACCAAAAGATTTTAAAATTTATCACGAAAACATGATCGGGTAACTTGGAAAGAACGGGTAAGGAGGAAGCTCACTCTCGAAGCACCAACACTCGATGACGTCATTCCACCAGCGGCAACATGGAGCCCGAAACGCGATAGGACGCGGGTTCGAGACTCGAGAAGCTCGAGCGAGGTCGCGCACGTTCCAAGCTGTCTCTCGAATTAACCTCGAATCGTTGCGTCGATCGCGTAATCGCCGCCGCGACGCGAACCGCTCGATCGCGACCTACGACCAACCACGATCGTTTCCTCGATTCTTCGTTCTCGTTCGTCCTCCTCGTTCGACGTTTCCTACTCTCGAAACTCTGCGAGCCACCGTCCGCGACTACGGTTCCTTTTACGTTCCCTTTTACACGTGATTTCCGAGAGAACGCTAACAGAGGGCGGTCGCACGCGCGTGCTCCGCGACTGCGATTCCTTCACTGCGGCTAACCACCAGAGATTCGTGATCGAAGCTGCGCGTCGCGATACTCGCTCCGTTTCTCGTCCAGGGGACCAAGGGACGTAGTAGTCCGAGCCGAACAGACCCGACGCCAGTCGTGCCGATTCGTGGCCTGTCGCGAGAATTCGTGAGGAGTCGTGCCGTCTCGGCTACTCTCGACGATGCCACCCGTCACCCACCGTTCTCCTTTATTCCTAACCTCGCTTTTGCGCTAAACGCTCTACGTTCCTGCTTCTTTCCTTCCTCTCGCGTTCGACGTTTCCTTCCCGTTAAGTTTGCGCACGGCGGCCGATCTTTTCGATACCGTTCGGACTCGCGCGCTCCCTCGCCGACCTCCTTTTCCTTCGTTACCTTCGAGCCGACTAAACCGGACCGATCGACTCGTTGTTCCGTTCGCCCACTTTACTCGCCCTTCCACCGCGCGAGACGCGATCGCGCCACAACCGAAATAATCGCTTCGTCGACCGATCTACCCGTCGCCGCGCCACTCTTTGCGTCATTTCGACGGGTCGTTCCGCTTTTCCGTGACGCGACGGCACGGTTAATTCGCGTTTTCGACCGCGAACTCGTCGACCAGAGAAACGAAAATGCCGCCGGCTACCTACGTGTCTCGAATCAATCAGATCGACGCGGCTCAATTGGACGAGGAAATTTATAAAGTGTTGCGGAACCAAGCGAAAGAGATTACCAAGTATCAACCGATCGAAAAGATCGATCGATGGCAACCAGAGATCGACGCTCTTCTCCGCTATCTGGTATGGTACTTTTCGTTGCGACGAGGAAATTCGACCTTTGGCCAGCAACTGCTCGATTTGCGTTACGAGAACATCACCGGTACAAAGTCCGTTCTCTACTTGATTTCGACGATCGTCCCGGCGTACGCGCGAGATAAGCTCGCCAACACCGACGTCGATCGAAATTTCAAGACCGCGTTCGATCGTATCGCGAACGTCGCGAGATTGCTCGAGTTGATCAACTTGCTGGTGTTTCTGCATCGTGGAACGCAACCTCGCCTCGTCGAGTATCTGTTGGGGATAGCAAACAGTTCGTCGACCGTTCACAAGCCCAGGAGCATCGGATACTCGTACATGACGAGGGAACTGCTCTGGCACGGTTTAACGGAATTGTTCACCACCGGCTTACCCATGCTCAATTTCCATTACCTGAAGCACACGGCGAAGAAGCTCTTCGCGGGTACGAGCAATCGCGCCAACCTACGACGTTCTTTCCCGGCGATGAACCGATCGACCAAGTGCTCTTATTGCGGCGACGCTCCGATCTTGCCGGTTCACGCCGGCTGCGAACATCTCTTTTGCTACTATTGTCTGAAGGCCCATTTCGTCGCGACGCGCGACTTTCAGTGTCCCGAATGCGACACCAGACTCTACGTACAAGACATGAAAACGTACCGATCGAGTTTTCCGAGTTTGCCCGCCGAACCGGAAACCAGTTGAACCGAATTAGACTTTGTTCGGCCGTCTTCTTTCTTTCGTTTTCATCGTTTCTCGATTATTATTCGACCACGTTTAAACTGTTCCGCGCGACGATTAACGCGAATCTACCTTCGTGTCCTCGTCTTCTCTGTACAACATTTTGCGCCTGTGTATTCAGTTTTGTTTTATTAAAAAATAGCAATACAAAAATTTTCTTTATTCACTTTGATACAAGGTTTCGATCTTATTTCTTTACTCGGCGTTTCCTTCGACACGAACGACGATGGAACGATTACGAGATACGTGCGTCGTTCGTCGAAATACCCAACGATTACCGTATAAAAATATTATTCCGCATCGTAGTAAAACGCTTTCCCTTTCGTGCATTCGACGCGATACGCGCTTCTTTTTTACTTTTTCACCTTTTTAAATACAGTATTATCCTATATACAGATCGGTCGAATGATCCATTCGTCGAGTCGTTTCGCTTGCTCGATGGGCGGATACGTCCTTTCGATCGTCTTACGACGAATTCGAACGCGCGCTATAAACGCGTATAGCCATTCTGGAATGTTTTCGTTTCATCTCGTTCTTGTCCTTTTTATTATTTCTTTCAGCTTTACGGAAACGATCGCCTCGTTGTTCCGAAAACGTACTTTACGCGCCGTTCGATACGATTAGCCGAGACGCACGATATTTCGACGATCTCGCGGACACCGAACAAAATCGTATCGAATTCTCTTCCCGTCTTTTCTTCTTTGCGTGTTTATTTTTCGGCAAGTACGGTCAACGCGGCTCGTCGTTCGGAAACGTATCGAATACGTCGATTCGAAACTGGGACGCGACTTTCGCGAAGGAAACAGATTCGTCGAGAACGCGTTACCGTCGGTATCGTTTCAACGATCGTTATTTATCGTTATTCTTTTACTCCGTCCATGAGAGCATACTCGAGAGAAGCACGTTCGGTCAGTCGAGCTATTTCAACGGATAGTTGCTGCATCCTCGTTCTTCCCAAATTTCTCTCTTCCTCCGTGTCGGTCGAGTCGCGATTTTCCCTTCGTTCTGTTCTACGAACAGAAAAAACCTGATCGGCGACAAAGAGGAAGAGAGAGAAACAAGTTGGCAGAAAAAGCGCGATACGCAACGCGTCGGGAAAAACACGGAACGAACGGTCCTGATGCTTTCGGATCGTACCGTAATCGTGACGGTTGAAGCGCTAGGCATCGAAAATTTCGTTGTCGCGTCCTAGTCTCTTTTATCGTTTAATTCTAATCTCTGTAACAACTAGTTGATTCGCAACGTCGCGCGAAATACCGGCTGAAATTTCGCGCAATTTTGCGGATAGGAACATCGAAGAACAGCACGACGCGTCGATTCGAAAAATCGAGTTCCGTACGATCGTGCGAGAACTCGCGTCGAAAGAAATTTTGCGCCCATCGATCAAGCTTCGTCTCGCGAATAACGAATCAGCGACGCTTTTGCGACGTTGCATCGCGAAAACGAAAAACGAGAAAACGAGAACGATAATGTTCCTTACGAAGGTAACGACAAAGTGGAAAACGCGTTCGCGGTCCGATCGGTGGGACGATCGAACAACGAATCGTTCGAAGCTAGTTAATTAGTCCTTTCGTTTATTCGAAGAAACGATTATATCGGTTAACCGTGAAACACGAACACGAGGAACAGGGACGATCGGACACAGTCTTGTAATATATCCCACGTATACTCACGCGCGCACACATACATATACAATAATAGGTACACACAAGCGGATAACGCGACACGTAGAACCACCTTTTTTTCTTTTCCCAACATTCTAATATAACGATCGTTATCGAGCACGGGGCGATCGCGCGGTACCGAACGAAAATAATATACGCTCGAAAAGGCTCGATAAATTTCTATCGGAACTTTTAGCGGTTAAATTCTCGGCATCGTCGACCGAGACGGTGTTACGATATCCTACCGTGGACCCATGTTCGATCACCCTACGTCGAACGCTTCCGTTTCGGTCGTGCTCGCGAGAGAAAGAAAAAAAATTGGTTTAAAACGTTAATAATTTATATCGAGCGATTACCTTACCACCGTAAAACCGTTAACGCGTAAACGGACCAAGAAAACTCGTGCATGCAGCTTGATCCGACAAAAGTATCTCTCGGCTCAACGATTCCCCGCGTGATCGTATCGAGTGCTCGGATTCGAAAGAAACAAAAAAAAAAGTGAGGGGAAAGAAAAAGAAAACGTAAGAAAATCACGATGCACCCGAAATATCGATCAACTGTCTGGCGTAAACGCGCTCTAAACCAACCGCGCGAGTTGAGCTCGAATCGCGCTTTCGAAGCAGCAAACTCGAACATTCGACGCGCGTTCGGCGTCCCTCGCGAATCAATAATAAATACTTTGTTATTTTGTAAAACTCGAAAACGGAGCCGCGAACACTCGCAAGCCGACTCGCTGTTCGATTCTGCCGCGCTTTCTACTCTTCTCCTTTTCCTTTCTTCTCTTCGCGTCTCACCGAATTTCGAGCTTAGTCGAGATAAATATTTGAACTTCGCTAAGGCGAAAGGCCGCCGATCGCGCGGACGCGTTTGTCGCGTTTTCGTTGCAACGATCGAATCGTTGTCCATTCATCGATTTCTTCTACATATACGCCGTTCGCGATTCACCAAGTGCTCGCCGTTACGTAAACGCGCGCGAAGCGACGAAGGAAGTCATCGAACCGCCGAGTATCATGCGACGGATTGAAAGACAATTTAGCAACGCAAGAAAACGTTAACGAAACTAAATTAGCAATAACGAGTTCCTTAACCTAAGGCACCTACCGGCTGCGCGAATCGAGGACTGTGGAATGAAGAAAAAAAATTAAAAAAAAAAAAAAAAAA